CGGGTCGGCCTGGGCCCTCCCGAGGCTGTGGCGTCCCTCACCGCGTCTGTTACATCCCCTAATTTTTTTGCCACCTCTTTGGCTGCTGTGTGTTATTCCTCTTACTTCTAGTACTCTAAATGCCAGTAGACCTTGTTTTGTGCCGGCAGGTTGCCCAGGTGGATTGTGCGCTGTGTGAAAGCGATGACACGATTCCGTGGATGGAGAGTTACATTTCATTGAGGTTTTTTTGCCCCAGGCTTAGGTCTAGACTGCTTTTCTGAGTGACTCAAGTGGTTGCTGTAAATGTGTAATCTTTGTCATAATGCAAGTGGTTCTGGCGTGGTATCAGGAAGGACGGAATAACATGGTTAACGGTCAGAAACATATGGAAAGTTTTTAGTTATAAAACTGATAGCAATGTAGCATTCTGGTATCTGCCCTGATAACAGCATCATACATGTATTGCCTTGTATAGTAGGCTTTAAAAGCCATTTCCAAAATCAGAATGTGAACGTAAATTGATAAGCGCAACTGTTAAAAGTGGAATATTTATTCCACTAGCACCTGAGAGTATTTTTGTACTGCTGTAAGTGCACTTACTTCATGCGTTAGCCACCTCAACTGTCCTTTGTTAAGAACTGACAAATAAACATAACCCAATGGTTATAGAGACCATTTCATGCCTTATTGATACTTCTTTTATTCATATTTGTTGTCCACTGTCAAGACTTTCTTTCTTGCTCACAAAGCAAGAAAAAAATCCCATTTGTCCAAAAGGAAAACATATAATTATACCATCCACATTCTTCTTCAGAAAAAACATGCTTACTACACTTAAAAAGCTCCCACTGTGGAGAGTCCAGGTTGGATTTATTTATTATGGAAGCTTTAGTTGAGAACCTAAACAGGTTTTTGCATGCAACAAGTAGCTGATTCTTCAATCTGTAGTTAATATAAATTGCATATTGCTGGAACCACAATTCTGTGTATAAAACCTTGTAAGAAACATCAAAGATGACAGTAGTTGTGTGACTCTGTGATACTTTATGTTACATCGTGTTTTACACTACAAGAACTATTATTTAAATGCTTTTCTTAATGTGGCTGCAGTGGCAGCTCATGGAACACTTTTTTTGCCCCAAAAAGTATATTGACAAAGATGAGAAATTAATTCCTTTTCCTTGCCAGAAGTAGTTTAGCATCATTCTAGTCTGGTATGGTGGGGCTCCTGTAACATTCTGTTTGAAAGCACCTTTACATTAGAAGCAGTATCATGATCCTAAGTTCTGTTTAATGCCGCATTATAAGCCCATTGCGGGGTATCCAGGTTGCTTCTCTTCACTTGTAGATGAGCATTTTATTTTTTCATTAGTATTCACTATGAATACACTCCGATGTAGATGGAGTGGCATCTACAAGGACTCACTTCTTCTGCAGTGTCTGAGATTTCTTCCCTCTCTGCCCAAGCCATGTCCTTTTCTGACTTGTGGTTGTTAACTGGCCAACATCATTCCATTACCACCAGGCCCAGCAGATCAGCCTTATGTTGTCCTTGCCAAGTGGCAGTCCCAGTTGGCATCTTACATTCTGGTGGGACACGTGAGCATCTGAAGAAATTTTACTGTAATCTGCCGAGGCAAAGAACCTGTCTTGAAAGGGTTAACTGGATGTTACTCTGTGTTGTGATAACTATGTATCTCTTCCAGAGTTCATCCTAAAACCTCTCTCTTTCTGTTTTGTAGAGACAAGAGATAATAGATTCCATTATGTGCGCGTCAGCCAAATACAACACCCGGGGTCCAGCCCTCATCCCAAGGATGAAAACCAAGCATCGCATCTACTACATCACTCTCTTTTCCATAGTTCTGCTTGGCCTAATTGCCACAGGAATGTTCCAGTTCTGGCCCCACTCCATTGAGTCAACCAGTGACTGGACTGTTGAAAAACGCAGTGTTCCTGCTGATAGCCCAATTCCTGAGCGGGGAGACCTCAGCTGCAGGATGCACACCTGCTTCGATGTCTATCGATGCGGCTTCAATCCCAAAAACAAAATCAAGGTATACATCTACTCACTGAAAAAGTATGTGGATGAATATGGGATGTCAGTGAGCAACACCATTTCCAGGGAATACAATGAGCTGCTAACTGCCATCTCTGACAGTGAATTCTACACTGACGATGTCAACCGGGCCTGCCTTTTTGTGCCATCCATAGATGTCCTCAATCAAAATGCGCTTCGTATCAAGGAGACAGCTCAGGCTTTGGCACAGTTATCCAGGTACTTACTGAAACTTCAATGTGTGAATTTAAAGAACAGAAAGTGGAAAAAAATAAGGTTAATGCCAGAGGGGAGGATGCACTGAGTCAGTGCCAGAGCTAGGCTTTGACAGAACTTGTCATCCGTATGTAGAGAACACCTTTCTAATTGTTGTCTGTTTCTTCTTTTGCCTTAGGTGGGATCGAGGCACAAATCACTTGCTCTTCAATATGCTGCCTGGAGGGCCACCAGATTATAACACTGCCCTAGATGTTCCTAGAGATAGGTATGCATTTTGCTGTGTTTGAATGCACAGATCTGGGTTTAACTGCCATTGAAGAAGCAATAAGCTCAGAAGTGCAGCTGTTAGCAAAGGGCATGCTCCTTAACCTTTACAAAGCTGGAATATGACTTCCTCTCTTCTCAAAAGGGAAGTAGAGAAGTCCCTGTCTTGTAGAGGACAAGTATTTGCTCCTGAAATCTGACAGTTTAGCCCCATCCTTAATTTTATATGGGATGTGGCTGACAGTGTTTGCCGTAACTGTTGAGATTACTGTAAAGATGGAGAATCTTGTGGTCAGACCTGTATCTTGCATGTTACTGAACCGGAATGCTTCACAGAATGTCCCATTTGATAGAAGTTAGAAGTTCAAAGATTATTGTAGCTGCAACTTTCTGATAGAAGTCAGATGCTTCAAGGGCATTTTAAAGCAGCTGCTCTACTTGACAAAACTATGGTGAATTTCAATAATTTCTGTTATTTTAACAGTTACACTGTATTAGTAATCAGACAAATACTCTCAGTTATTCTCTGGCAAGTGTGTTTTGAAAATATTTGCCAGAAACTTAAAAGGCATGAATCCTGAGCTCAGTTTTCACTTGCAGAATAGTTTACTTTTGCAAGAGGAATGAAGGTTTTAAGGCAAAGAAAATTGGAGTAAGACAAACTTATTTAGCTTAGATACTGTTACTGAATATGTTTCTGCTAGATTAGCCTGTATATGCTTAGTTCTGCTGAGTTAGGTCCTGTGTAACCAGTCCCTCTCTTGAAGGTCAAAGTTAACTTTCTTCTGCAAAATGTCAACAAAATCTTGCCTGAGATGTGGGATCTTTGCTAAGATGATTATGTATGGAGTATATCTTGATTTATTTTCACCAAAGACGATTTAAAACATCCTTCAATGCCAGAACAGAACATGTTTTTTCAGGACATGTTCAAAGAGTAAGTTTACTCATTGTAATTACATCACTGATTGTGAAGTAAGGCTTTAGGATTTTTACTTCTCTATATGAAATGTGTTATATGCATGTGGGTTAGCCTGAAGAGGGCAGTCAAGCATCATTCTTATGTAACCAAACCTGTTAATCTGTTAGTAAGTACTTGTATTTGTTATCTCAAGATTTATACTTCTTAAGCTGAATTTTCATTTGTCAATGCTCTGTTTGATGGAATGGACTGCTCTGGGATTGTGTGTTTGTGGATGCATGTGCCTATTGAAGAAGCAGATTTATTAATTGAATGCAGTAGATTTCTTACAATGCACAACTTTTTTTTAAACTTTTTTATGTCAAATGTCCATTTATATTTGGCCGTATGTGTCTTTGCTTAGTATGCAGGAAATGTATTATTTTGGTAAGTGTTTGTTCTAAGTGTTCGTCATGCTAACATGGAAAGCTGAGTAATTTGAATTAAAAAACCCCAAATCTTTTTTGGCATACAGCTGTTGTAGCTTGCCAAACTGACTCACCCTGCAGCTGTATGATCACTAGCTGTAATACATCAGAGAGGCAATAACAGTGCTTTGGACAGAGAAAAGGTGTAAACTCCTTTTTGTAGGCATCCAACAGATAGGCTGTGTGCAGTGTAACATAGAACCTCTACTACAGGTCACAAGCGCAAAGACAAGGGATCTGTGAAAAAGTCAGTAGTGTGGACCTAGTCCTGGAAGGGCCTGATGGTGCAGTATAAGATTACAGTATGATTTTGGAGACCTTAGTTCACATCTAACAGAACAAGCCATCTGGGTGTGTTTTCTTAATTTGAGAGTGTCCACACATGTTACAGAATGGGTAGTTAACAAAGCATGATGGACAGTTGTTTGTAGCATCACAGGGTGAGAGGCTACAGGCCAAAATAAAGGTATGCTGGCAGCATTCAGTTGGTTTTGAATGACTGGTCTGAACTGTACCAGTACAACTCCAGAAAGACTGGATTTGCAGGATTTTGTGGATCACTCATGAAATACACAGGTAATATTTGTGAAGTTTGCACAGTGACTGTGGCCTGCCTTCTTTATTCGGCACATATCAGAGATTATACATAGTTGAACAGTATTGAATCATGAGATTTGATAGAGTTGTGTTCTCTTGAATTGTCGCAGGATATTAATCCAGGTAAAATAAGACCTTATACACAAAGGGGAATTCAGTTACATGATATTTTTACATCTGGAAAACTCTTTAGCTAAGTTACCTTATTAAGGGGTTGTTTGTTTATTGAATCTTCAAATCCAATTTCCAAAGACAGCGTAAAAGTACATTGTTCCATAATTTCAGAGATGGAAGTCTGCCTTGTGGGCATGAAGGCTGCATTGCTGGTATTAGCTGCCATAACATATGTAATCTCCTGCCATAAAACTTAAAAAATAAGCCCATTATTATTTGTTAATAAGTGCTATTGAATTTGGTACAATAATGAGGATGAAAGGATTTCTTTTTCAAAGCTACTCTGTAGCTATAAAATGGAACGTATGAACTAAGATACTTTTTCATTCTGCTCCAGTTGATGAATTGTGTTTCGGTGACTTGTGAAGTTTGGCAGAAAGCTGATCATGATGGCAGCTGGGCAGAAACATTTAGAATACAGACCAGCTGGGGCACTTCCTGGAGAGAAAGAAGGATCAATATCTGAAAAGTGGTGAAAAGTTGCTCAGGAACAGGCTTATTCCTCACTGATCAGTGCAAGTTGAAGATGATTTGCCTTGAGTACATTAGGAGTTAATATCTCTACTCCCTTACTGCACCGTACAATGAAAATCTGAGTGGAGTTATTTAACTGGTGTTGGTTCCCTGTGGGTTTATTTAGGAAAAAGTCTGCGTGACACACACCTGCTTTCTCAAGGCTGATGAGGTGCTGTCATGTTTTCACCGGATCCAATTAAAACAATCTGTTGTAGTTTCCCAATTGGCGAGGGCGGTGGTGGTGTGTGTGTGTTTAAGAAAAAAAGAGGAGGGGGTTATGAAGTGCAAGAACAGCAACGCGCAAGCCAATTTTTTCTCCCTGCTTGTAACTGAGTTAATATGGGTAAGACATGGAACATGCAGGCTCAAGGGTGAGACCTAGTCATAGCAGCATTGTACGTGTCGCCAAAGGAGCAGGGGCACTGGAAAGGAATCCAAAATAATCACTTGATTTGGAACATAAATACTTACTCAACACGTGCTTGATTTATCATCCTGTTCTCAAGTTGAATTCTGCTCCTACCATAGTTTGTGCTCTGAGTGAAGAGTAATAAAGGGCAAGTTGTTTTGATTTTGTAGTTGTTATCAAGATGAAATGTATCTCTAATCCAGTTCCTCTAATCCAGAGCCTGGGACTTTCCAAGAGCTTCTTAAATGACACTTAGGACTGCTTGCTTGACTACTTGGGTGAAGTCATATCTATGGTAACGTGTTAATCGTGGTGTTTGAACACTGAACAACTGTGCTGCAGGTCAGAGCAGGAAGTGAAAGTATCCCATGGGACATCTGATGGGGGTTAGAAAAGGCAGAACATACTGGTGTTTATCTGGGATGTCATGTTCTGATAGGAAAAAAATTGTAGGTCTTGGATGGTAGTTAGGTGTAACGATAATCTGTCGTATAACAGCTATGGCAAAACTGCTTCTCCAAACACTATACTAAGGATTTCATTCGGTGGCATCTGAAAACAAGGCTATCAGCTAATGGATTGTCAGTGCCTTTTCCACTCTTACTTTGGCTTTTTGTTCTGGTGTGTCTGTTCTGATTACTGGTGAGCCATGTGCCTGCTCCGATCTGAACTCTGTCAGTATGCAAGCTAGTGATAAGGCAGCTTTTGGCTGTAATAATAGCTGCTACAATGAGTACAGCCCCTCAAGATCCTTTCTGTGGTGCCTAGTGTAGTGCACAGAGGAGGAGAGAAACTGGAGCTGGAGAAAGATATTTCTCCTAACTGTTTTGTATGGTACCTTAAGCAGAAACAGTGTCCCTGGGGCAATTTAAAGTATAGCACACCCTGCTGTTAGGTGCCAAAGGAATGAAAGTTTCATCATCTGTTTTAGAAGTCTCACTAAAGAAGCTGAATCTGAGCTTCTTTTGGAAATAGAATGATGGTGCCATCTGGTCACTGGAGATGAAATGGCAACTGAAAAGCTGATGTCCTCTGCTTGCATATTTCAAAGAAGCCTGATTTGGGATAGGAGGCAGTAACGAACCTGTTTTTTCTGGCATTGGGAATGATGCATTGCTTTCCTCTGTAAACGTTGTTCTCTTCTGTTTCTTAAAGCCCTTCTGTGTGGCAAAACATTGTCCCATCTAGGAAAAGCCACAGACAATCAGGGTCATCCTGTTGGGAGCTTGAATTACATCTTACTTTATCAATCTTTCATTCCCATGCTCTCCAGCACATAGTGTCCCAAGCAGCCTTTACTGTTGGACAGTAAGTTTCAGAACATACGGAGTTCTTGTTGTCATGTTTTCTGTTTATTATTCTGTTTTTGTGTAATGTGAAAATGAAATAAATTTCACTAGTTTGTATGATCACTTGAATACAAATCAATCACAGTTGCAAATAACTCCATTTTATTTTCCAGCCTGAGAAGTCCAGAGTCACTGTAACTTTCCAAAATACTGTGTCACTATACCTGGCCTTGTATCTGAACTATAGCTTGTCTCCAACACTTTGAGAGCAGTGGTATACCTTATTTATTGCAGGCATCAAGGAATATGTTAACTAGTATAAATAATTAAGAATGTATTTCTTTAAATTGAAATTGACTTGGGACATGTAAGCTTGCAAAAATGCAAAATTATCTTAATGACTACAGTGGATTAAATTTCCCTATATTAATGCAAAAATGGTGCATTCCTCAGTGATCATATGCTTACATATGCAATTGTAAGTATTCTGTTGATGACTAGATCCAATCTGGCAGTAAGCCCAGTTCATGAAAACTAAAGTGAACCGAAATACTGCATGAAAAATGCCACTGACAAAAGCTGAGGGAAAAACTTATTCTCAGAGCATGCATCTTCTTGATGTTCTGATAGTGACAATAAGTAAATTGTGCTCTGAGTTTGAATGGTATACGTACTCTGTTTAAAGTTGCTTTCTTGTATTTTTCAGAGCTCTTCTGGCTGGTGGAGGCTTCTCCACATGGACTTACCGGCAAGGCTATGATGTCAGTATTCCTGTTTACAGCCCATTGTCGGGGGAAGTGGATCTGCCAGAAAGAGGACCAGGGTAAAGCAATTCCCATTAATTGGGCTAAATATATTTAGTATCATGTTTAGTATTGACACTGACAAAATATAAATATAGCTACTAACTTGTTGGTTGGTTTGGGCAATTTTATAAGAGTTGCTTTTAATAGCTTTTGCTATTAAAATATATGATAGCTCCAGTGCTAATGGTCTTGGCTTATCTGCCAACATGTGGCTTAGCTATGAACTGAGGGTTTTTTTGGAGTGATTCTATTTTACCACTCCAGAAGCTGAACTGTGAAATATGACAACATGACAGTATTTTTAGTAGCATTAGATTCAATATTTCCAGTGAGCTGACAAGATATTTCAGATGTAAATAAAAGTAGTTGTTAATATGATTGGTTTCTTTAAAGTGTAAGTAAAGCAGGGCAGTAATTCAAAACACTATAGATTCCCTAATAAATTATTTCTTCAGACAATTTATTTAAGGATACTTAAATTGCAATGATATTACAGTGATAAAAGAAGTGTGCTATACCTCCATTGTGACTTTAAAGAGATAGAAAGGGTCATGGGGATCAACACAAGTGCCTTGGGTAGTATCAGCTAGTGCACATGTTGAATGAATAACAGGAGAATAGCAGTGAAGATGTGATCTTCTGTATGTCTTAAGGATACGGATATCTTCATAAACCAGTTTGGATGTGTTTCTGGTTCTGAAGTCCTTTCAAAATGACATTGAGAGTTTGGAAAAGGAGAAGCCTGTAAATACAGCTCTAAAGGGAAGAAGTTCTTGCAGAATGAATATTAGGGAGGTTACACTCATGAAAAAGAGAGCCGATTTGATTATGGAGATAGTTACATCCAGCACTTAGAATACTGATTTTATTTTTTTCTTTTTTAAAGTAATGGAGTAAGACATAAACACAAACAACCCCTCCTGACCTTGTATTTGGAAATAAAGCACTATTTTGACAGTGTGTGTAATTAGCCATTAAAATGACCTACCCTGGAAAGTGGTGGGTTCTCTAATCAATCTGCATCTACCTACTCATGTCTTCAGAACAAGAGTAGGTAGAAGTCTGGAACACATGTTTTAATTGATTATGGAAGATTGGTCTTTTAATATTTCATAAACCTCTTAATTACACAGATGAAAACATTTCACTGTAGCAAGGTCTCACCTCTGCTACGGTTTAAAAGATGGGCAGACTGAGGCAATGGGGGTAAATGACATGTCCATTGATTGTAAAGGTCAAGTTTAGAAACATGGAAACTTTAGGTCCTTTTCTCTGACAGCGTCCTGTAGAGAATATGAATTATTAAAGTTTAAAACTCTGATTGAGCAGGTGCTGCCACTATCGGACACAAAGTGTTATTGTACTTTGGCTTCAGTTGTTTTCTCTGGCAAGGGCAGTGCTCTTGCTGTTGCTCTGGACTGCTCCAAGTAAGATACCACAGTCAATTACAGGACAAACTTGTGCAACAGTGGTTTGCTTTGCTCACACCCTTTATGTTCCTGCTTGTGATGCTCCTGGACCACACCAGTGGAGGGGCATCTGGTTGCATCCCAATTGATTCTGCATAGATCTCAGGTATGATTACAGTCTGATATGGTGAAAGCGTGCTTTGTATTTCTGTCTGGAAAGCGTGATCGTGATGATGGGCTTCAGCATGCATAGAACCAATTGTAAAGAGAGATACAGGCGTATTGTTCATGTCCATGTAGTCAACTAAATGCTATGTCTGGTTTTAGGTAGGACAAGAGAAACTGTTATGTGGGAGCTGTTGCAATGCATGAGTCTGTGTTCAGTGAAGGTGTTGGAGCTTCCATGTTCTCAAAGTGGGAATTTTTTGTGAAGAACAGACTGTAGTCTCCGGAGTACCATCTAGTTGCCAGTTAGCATTGCTAATTGAAACACATTCACAGTTTTGATTACTTTATGCAGGAGTGTGACAAGGGAACAATGCTCAGAATTCAGGCTTGCTTGGGATAAACTATTACACTCCACTCACTAGTGTGTTATTTCCTGGGAGCTGGAATGTACTTTCTTTTGTAGCAAGATTTGATAGCTAGATTTTGAGTGTGGTAGGATGATAACAGTTTTAAGGCAAAATTTGGTGTTAAACTTATACCATAAACAAACCTGCATAATTTTTAGCTCGTTATAGGCATTTATTATCACTCATCTGCAGCAGTATTTCCTTTTTTTAAGGCCAGTCCTTTTTTATTCCTCTTACAGAGCTGAACTGAGGAGTTTTGGTTTAATCTCCTTTTTAGTTGAATTGTTTAAAATATTTTAAACGTATCTCTGCTAGAAATATATATTCTGTAGAGCTGCTGGTAGCAAGTTGGTATCAGCTGGAGGCTTAGGAAAAAGAATGTTTAAAAAACTTCTATGCAAGTCTCATCTGTTAATTGTAGCAACTAAAGTGACCAGCATGAAAATGAGTAGAAGAGGTGAGAAGAGCAGCAGGAGAGGTCTGACTTTTTAAAGTGTGTGTTTGTATGTGTTTTCAGAGGTGTAAACTAAAGATAGCATCACGTGGAGTAGAACTGGAATCCTAAGTGCAGACCTCGTGTTTCCTGTGTTCTTTTGGCAGCGTGAGGGCAGGCACTCGCTGTGTGTTCCTTTCAATGGGGAGCGGTGGAGCAGTCTGACTTAGCTGAACCGTTTAAAAAGGAAACCAAAGTAGATGAGAATGAGTATAACAATTGTATGACATGCTATTTTCCAGCATTAACATAACTTTTTAAAGCAGTGAACACCTAATTTGAGACTGTATTCCTGTGTGTTTTACCTCCAGTGTTAATTAGTATCTTGAAACACTTCAGTATTAAGGCTCATTTTAAATACTCATATTTTCAGAACATGGTAGGAGTTGAGAGTGAATGGGATAATGGACCTTCAACTTTGTCCTGGAAATGTTGCCTTTATGTTGCCCAAAAGGGACAGAACTGAATCACAGCTGATGAGATGAGCTTGTCCAGTTGCTGCTGTCACCATATCAAGACTAAGTAAGCACAGGGTAGCTGAGTTGTCAGTTCAGCATCTTTTTTCAATTAACATTGGTGAGAAAATATACAGGAGGAGAAACTAGCAGCAACATTCAGTGTCCTATCTACTTTGTTATAGCACACAAACACCAAGCAAAAGAACAACCAGTAGCAAGCTGTTTTAATAAGTAGCTAAATAATGTTTGTTTCAGTTTATAATAGAGGTTATAATGCAAGTGCCTATTCTAATGTAATAAGCACGCTTTCCAAGTACAAATTAATTCAAAGTTGTAAATAATGCTGAGCCACTTACTGTCCAAGATTTAATTATATTACATCATTACCCTTTTTGGCCCTGTCTGAAAATATGGTCTTGGCAGTGTGTCCACATTAGTTAATCTTGCTCTGCTTTTCCAGGATGGAAGGATATGTGTTCTAGAGCATCTTGGAAGTAAATTCACAGTGCTGTCAGGTAACCTTGCTGTGTTTTTTCAGTCCTCGCAGGTATTTCATTCTGTCATCTCAGATGGCTCTGCACCCAGAATACCGGTCTGAGTTGGAAGCTCTTCAAGCTGAGAATGGGGAATCAGTGTTGATCCTAGACAAATGTACAAATCTGTCAGATGGGATCCCAGCTGTTAGCAAGCGCTGTCACAAGAATCTTGTCTTTGATTACCCTCAAGTGCTTCAGGTAATGCTGTCTCTCCTGTAAACTTCTCTTCTCCATTGTCACTGTCTTAGCTGTGGAGCTGTTCCTGTTTAGCCCTGGTAGGGTACTTCCTTGTATTTAGTTGATGTGCTGGCTATGTTTTGAAACTGCATAATTTGTTATGTTAACTTGGATATTATATCCTAAATTTACTCTTAATTTTAAGAGGGCCAAGAACTATGTACTTAAATTGATATGCAGACTATGCTGCAATTTGAAAACACTGCTTACGTATAACAACTTCATGAGATTGGTCATGGTGGTCTTCTAGTAACACATGACAGTGTCATGTAAACTTAAAAAATGATATGAAGATACTGCCAAATCCAGCAGCAACGGGATGAGAAACTTTTGGAGGCCAGACAAAATTGCTCGCTTTAAAATTGGGGAAGAACATTGCAATCTACACCCTCCAGAACAACTGGCAAAATGACCTTCAGCAGGCATGAATTTGGAATTGATTTCTCACATATGACAGTCCAGGCCTTGCTAGATGAAGCTTGGAATGGAGGATGGCTTTGTCAACTGGAGGGAAGATTGAAATGAACTTTAAAGAGCTTATGTATGGATTTATTTAGGGGGCAAAAAAGATTGCTGCATTTAAGGAGGGTTGATCAGGTTATATTTTTTGTATGCAGCTTAGTAGTTAAATCCTACAAAATTATCTGTATAGATAGGACAGACTGAGCTAGAAGACTTGTCAGCATGCAGCTATGAAAACATTTAGGTGAAATGTGTTTTGTGGCCTTGTCCCAACTTCCAGAGGCCTTTTGATGTGTCAGTGAGGATAAAACTAGATAGCGTTCTCAGACCCCTGTGTCTCTTGGCAATTCACTAACAGAGAGGTGCTTTGGCATGCAGTGTGGTGAAGTGAGTTATGCCATAGGCCACTGTGCTCTGTCTGTGGCCACCAGCATATAATCTATCTTTGAACTTCAGCAAATGATGATAAAATAACAAACAAGCTGAGGAAAGGCAAAGTTTCTACCCCTCCAGTTATGTTTTGTAGGAAATATGTTTAAAATTCCTTGTGGAGGAGGGAGAGAGGGAAGAAAGGGTCACCCTCAGTCCAAAACTTTCAGCCAAAAGGAAAAAAAAAAAATTGTTTGCTTCTTTAAATACAGGCTAGATTGCTGAAGGATAGCAAGACAGGGAATCTATATCTATATCTTGCTATATGTGATTTTATAACTCAGAAGAGAGCTGGCACATACCGAGATTGTTAAAATACTTTCCTTTGCAGAGCCCTACATCTCCCCTTGGAATGTCTGGCTGATAACAGTGGTGATGCGAGGGGGTGTATTTATAGTAACCTTTGTCTAGACAGGAAAAATGGTTATCTGGGCAGATGAGCATGTGTGTCCACATCTGGGCTTTTTTTTTTTTTCTCTCCCAGACCTTACTAGAGTGTCTTCCACCTGCTGCTGTGTGATCTAGTGAGTCAATGGTTAAACTGTGTGTTCATTCTCTCTGCTCCTTCCATTCTCGCACCCTTCTTTTCCTTCTCTTCCTGTCTGGGAGTGGGGGAAGGGGGACTGTGATCACAGTTCATCCATTCCAGCGCTGCCTTTATAGACTTCCTACTAGACAGGCTCTTGGGCTTCTGGGTTGCTAATGCTTCCTGTTTGCAGTCTTCTCTTGAATGATATTTTCAAGGGTTTTAGCGCTTTATGGGTATGAACACAGGTCTTACGATTGCATTAGGAAACAAGTGAAGAGCCAGCACACCCCCTTGTATTTCCTAGTTCCATTTTGATGTCTTTGCTGCCCTGCTGAGCCTCCTGGCTCCTTTTCCTTAGGCCACAGAACACAAGCTGGAAAGATGTTTTCTTATCTGTGGGAGCCCCTATATCAACTTTATAATTTTTCTTTCTTAGACTTAGGGATAATACTGACTTGGGATTTTTCCTTGCTTTGTGTAGCTGAACTCTACAAGCATTTATTTTGCAATCTTGAATCTGTAAAAAGATTCCTCAGTGGCAGTGAGGACTAAAGTCCCTATTTGCAGCATAGTCAAGAAAGCCTTCTCTGCTGCAGTTTAAACTCATGGCTTTTTGTCTTGTGTGTTGTGGACATGAGTAAGAGGATTATATTCTTCCTTTTTGCAACAACTTTTTATATCTTTGAAGCTCCCTTTAGCCATCTTCCTCCTGCCCTCAGTCCTTCAGAATAACTAGTATTGATATAGTCGATCTTACCTTGTAGGTCATACTTTCAAGGTAAGTAATCATCCTGGTTTTTTACCCCTGGAAGGGCATTACCCAAGCCTGAACACACTGCTCTGAGTTCTTTTATTACTGTGAAGAGTGAGTGATTCCTTCAGGTCTCCTAGGTTGTACTTTTTTGCATTTTAATACAACTTGTGGGTGGTTTGTTTTTTCAACAGCACACCATTGCTGACATGACTAACCTTTCTTTTCCTGTCCTTTTGTAGGAAATGTCCTTTTCTGCAAAGTGCAAAACCTAGCCAGTTACTTCATGCTTTATTTTTGTTATTTTTGTCTAAGTGTTGAACCCTATATGTATCAGTATTTTTTAGTCAATTTATCCATATAACGTCAAACTCTAATCTCATTATCCTTTATGCTTCCTAAGCCTACAGTCACAGGTATTGTCAGATCTAATAAGTATGGTCATAATTCTGCTACTCACTTAACTAAGGGACACATTGCATACTGTTGCACCTAGGAAAGATTATTTGGTCCATTGCTGCTTTAGTTGTGAGCCAACACTAAGTGCTTTATTGTTAAAGTTCTGTAACTGTAATTTATGTAACTATAAAGCCTATGAGGGCTTTATCAAGCCCATGATTTCTTAATTTGCCTATGAAAATGCTATCAAAGATGTCAAATGCCTTTTAAAATTGAAATATGAAATCTATTACTTCTCTGCTAGCCATAGAGCTGGATTGCCCTATAATGGAAGAAAGTTAGGTTAGCTTCATACAGTTTGTGCTCAAGTTCATGTTGATTGTTGCTCATCTTGTTATGCTAAACTTTCAAAATATTTAGCTTACTTTTCCCCTTGAATTTTCTCTATTAAAATGTTGAAATTAAGCCATTAAAATAAAGCATAGAGTAGTCCTGTTAGCTGATTTCTCATCTCTCCACTTACGATGTTTTTTTGCCTCTGGAAGATAAAAGTTACATAATTATTTTGACTTAGCTAATAATTCAGGATACATTGGTTGTATGGAGCAAGTCTGTTTTCCTTTTCACGTGGTTTTTTAAAAGTGGGAGGACAGGAAATCATAATGAATGTATACATAGATACACACACAATACAAATCTAACATTTACTTTTTTTCCTCATCTATGTGTTGGATATCATTTGTTCACAGGAGTCTACGTTCTGTGTTGTTCTACGTGGAGCCCGTCTGGGACAAGCTGTGCTAAGCGATGTTCTTCAAGCTGGCTGTGTCCCAGTCATCATTGCTGACTCCTACATTTTACCTTTCTCTGAGGTTCTGGACTGGAAGAGGTCTGTACTGTCACTGTTGTACGTCGAACCACTGTATAAGAGACTTCATTGCATTCAGTGATTTGAATAAAATCTGTGTCATAAGTCAAGCGTACTGGAGGTTACAGGGCATAGAATACAGAGTAAGATACATGCAGTCTTTGCCCTTGATATAATGTGCATCAAAAATAGGAGAGGAAAACAAATGAGGCAAAGATGACAGAGCATTTGATTATCCTGTACCCGATCATATTTTTCCTAAAACAGACTTGCTTTATTATCTTGTGCTTGAATTCAGTGAGGACTGGTCTGCATTCAGGCTCCTTTAGGGAAAGTATATGCTAAAATTTGTGTCACATAAGTGCTAAAGTCTCTATATAGTGTCATGATTCCTAAGTTCATCTGAGACTGAAAAGTATAATTATTTTGTAGCAGAGTACACTTTGTTAAGAGTTTAGATTACTTTTTTCCATGCATGCACTATGCCCAGTTACGTGATCATAGGATAATATGTACAAATATTACTAGCTTGTATGCATAGAATCGTTAAGATTGGAAAAAACTTCTAAGACCATCAAGTCCAACCATCAACCCAACACCACCATGCCCACTAAAGCACTGTATATGCTATTACTGTTTGGTCACTGAAAAAGCTCAGCAAGTGAGTGGCAATACAGAGATGAGTATTCAGGAATTCTGGGTCTCTGTCCCTTACATATTTATTAGATTGTACAGATCAGTCCACGGTTTTTGTGGCATTATCTGTGCACAGACTGACTGGTGTTATGAAGGAGCTGCTACAGAATAATTAATTACAATGAGAGAAGACTGCTTCTTTCTGCTAATCTCTTCTGAATGTGTCTTATTAGAATAGGATGAGATCTAGGTTGAAGAAGCTGTTGACATCGCTTAATGTAGAACTTCTTCTCTTCTTACCATTTGTTCTCTGTTTTTTGCTTATAGGGCCTCTGTTGTAATCCCTGAAGAAAAGATGCCTGAAATGTACAGTATTCTGCAAAGCATCCCCCAGCGACAGATTGAAGAGATGCAAAGACAGGTAAAATAATGTACTGTGCTTAAATTATTTTCCTTTACTTACAGTTGGAGTGCAGGTTCATACGCTTGCCTTACTGTGAAATCTGCTGGAATACAGAAGCATCCATTGTACTCTTATGTTAATATTTTGATTATTCGACCCTCTTCTTTCTTTGTGCTAAACATGTGCATTCACCATTATTTTCCAATGTTGTGCCCATCACTGGCGCAGCTAAATGTGTTGAGCAGCAGCTGTTGATCGGGACTACATTACCCATCAGGTCAGGAAGTTAAGAATGCTGCGTATGATTGCAATTGCAGAACACCACTTCAGCAGGCAGACTTCATTTACTCAGAGTAGATTTTCTCCAACCTACTATGTTAACGTCCATGCTGTTGTGAAATATATTACAGGATCTTTAGCATCCACGGTGATCAATGCCTCCCCATGCTGGGTTGCAGCAGATCTCCTGAAATGTGAAACAGAGGTTTTGACTATCTGCTTTTTCATGTAAAGATCATGTGGTGTTTGCCATGAGTCGAGACTGCCAGTTTCTACGGATGTAGTATACTTTCCACTTTCATTAATTTCACTCTTTCTTACGTCCCCTCTGCTTTCTTATTGCACTCTGGGATGGAAGCTCTCCCTGAATGCAGGTGTATGTTCTTGTATACTAACATATTTCTGACAAAATGACAATGTATATTTTTTTCTCTTTTCTACATAGTATTTAAATTGTATTAAAGAAGAAATTCAAGAGTCTGTCTTTATCTCAAGGGAAGCTTTGGTTTGTACATAAGTTTTAATCGCTCAAAATGTGAGGGAAGTATTAAGTCCAAAATGTTTTAAATATTTTAACTAAGTTGACAATACCTCTGAGAGGGAAATTTCACTTATTTGGTGACTGGAAGAGCTGAGATCATGAACTGTCCAAACTCATGAATGAAGTCTGTGTTGGCTGGGTATATAGTCAAGAGGAAATGTCTTCTAGTTTACTCCAGTTGATGCTGACTCCTGTTTACGTTAGCTTTGCTGTTATGTACACTATCATCAACAGTTGCTTCAATTCTAGAGCTCACACATAACGTGCAAGCTCAACAGATGAGGACTGTTAGCCATGTGAGGATTTTCACAAAGTGCGAAGAGTTTTGTTGTCAGATTAGGGGGTAGGATTCAACCACATTGTTCTTTTGGTAGTCGGAATATATAGATTAGATTTTTGTGACTGTGAAGAAGTAAGATGTTAACATATATTGTAAACTTGTGTCTAGGATCTTTCATCCTAGTCACCTTACTGTACCTGAGCATATATTGTTATAAGGTATGGAGATTTTCCTGATGAGGAACTGAGGCATAGAGAAAGTAAGAACTAGGTATGTAGGGACAAAGTAAACTATCTGATCTCAGGTGACTTTTATAGACACATGGGATTTCTGTAATTGAATTTCTGCAAGAATTGTGAAGACATGTTTCTGAAATTCCCTTACCCAACTTTAGTGACAAAATCATCTTTTGTGTGGTCCTTGTAAAAAGTGAACCAAGGCATGGTTTTTCAGGGTGTAGCTACAGCACTCTAGTTATTTCTACCTAGACGGTGCTAAAAGCTGCACAGTTAATATTAATACTGGATATATGTGTGGAGAAAATAGACTCTCAGATTCAGCAGTAAGTATCTTTTCACACCTGAATTCTGTTGCCAGCTTCACTTCATTCTTTGTACAGAGAGTCTGCAAATATCACAGCAGCCATCAGGGGTCTCCTTTCTCTTTAGTCCCTTCACACAAGTAAACCATTTTGGTGGGGCCTACTGGCAGCACCAACTTGCCACCAGAGATGGCAGGTGAAAAAGTAGGTTTGCTGTTCCAGCTCCTAGAAACATGATTTTGCTTTATTTTCTTTTTTTCTCTGACATGAATGTAGAGATGTTAACACTAGGGAATTTTTCTTAATAAAGCTTTAAAACTGACATTAATATTCTGTTAAAGTGTGCATTGATTTTTCTTGTCCATTTTACTAATATCATAAAATAATAATTTCAGGATAGTGTTCTCCTTCTACAGAGAATGCATTTGTCATTATGGGCAGCTTAAACAGTAATTTTCAAATATGAAATCAGGAAACAATACTAGTTTGTAAGAAAAAAAAAAACCCCAACAAACACTCACCCCCCAAAAAAAATCCCCAAAAAATCCCAAAAAAGCAAAACCAAACAAATGAAAAAAACCCTAAACATTCACAATGAAACAAACTGACAAAACCTCCTTTAATTCAGATGATGTATAAGTTATCTATATTATCTCTAACTCCATAAAATTAAGTTAAAATGTAAGACATTTTAATACCCAGAATTCAGTTCTAGTCTGTGTTGGGAGTGAATTTTGTTGGATTATAGATGGTTTGCAGTATTCATTGTCATTGGGTCCAAAGCATCACTGAACATATTGAAAACTGTGATCCTGTTGACCAAAGGTGGGAAGTATGTTTTTCTAAAGCTGCCTCTCACACCTTGATGCCTTTATTGAGGATGTAGTTGTGTGTTTTAGTAGTAAGAGTATCAGGATGAAATCACGAGGTTTGTCTGTCTCTTATCTTTGTGAATTTATTTCTGTCTGCATATTGAGGATATTTAAAGATGTTACCCATACATTTAATGTCCTGTCAGCCTTATTTACAAGGTAAAGTCCCAGTGTAAGCATCTGTGAAATTCCCTTGCTGATACATGGTTCTATGTTCTAGTTATCTGATATAAAAAAAGTGAAAAAGTACTTAGTAACTGATATTGTGTGGACTACTAATTATCTAATTGCTTTTCCTCATTGATAAATATGTACTAATACTCCACCAGTGCTACAGGTTTTTTTGTTTCCTTCCTCCTCATCAGTCTCACAGGAGGGAGGAGTTGCACACTTTACATGCTGGTTTTTTATTTAAATGCTTTGGGAAAGTATCTTAGGACTTTGTGGCTAGACAGAATGTCTTCAGTTTTTTTCAGTGTCTTCACTTCAGCAGCAATGTACAGGAATTAATGAATAAAGATTCACAAAATAAGGCTGAAGTGATGATAGGAGAAGAGAGAATTTGAAGTTAGAATTAACCTTTTGAGGAGGCTGGTGCTAAGGGTAGTTCAGAAGCAAAGTGAATTTGTCATAAGTGCTCTATTTTGTTTCTCGGGCAAGGAATTACTAAAATGAAACACAACTAATACTCATTTATAGAATGAATCTGCAAATGAACTGGGGTGATTTATACATGTTTTCAGATGTGATCTATAGCAGTTGTTTATTCTGTTTAGCCAGGAAGGGCAATAAAAGCCTCAAAACATTCTGGTTTTGCAAGTAACCCATATTTCTCAATAATACTTAAACAGCTTTCTTTTGCTGCTTCAACTTCAAGGGCTGATAAAACCTGATATACAATATCCTGGGTCTTGTTTTTTGTCAAGTGAAAGAGGACTGACTGAAACTGGTCATGTGGTATGTTTGTTTTTTTTCCAGTCCATTCTAGTTTTCACTGAGCATTGCTCTTATTGAGACGGAAACAAAGATAGTTAGATCACAATGATCATGTTCTTTCTTGTTTTTACATTGTGAAACACTTGGAGTTTGATACAGCAGTTACAAAAAGATTGGTCTACAACTGATGCTAAAATGAAGAAAAGGGATCTTTGCAAAGAGCTTTTATCAAAATTAGTATGAAAATTGTTTTATGGCATCTCACTGTTTCCTTTGCAGTTAGGATGTGTTTAGGTTTTATTTCAAAAACTGTTTTTCTTGCACATAAAATTCCACTAGGGGAGACAGTACATTTTTGATAAAGACTTGTGAAACATGCTTTGCTAGTACCTGCCAATTAACGTACTTTTTCAGTAAATTAAGAAACCAGTTGACGTGTTCTGACATGATTGTGGTTGAGATCATCCTTTTCTTAGCCAAACAGAACAAATCCTTGCTCTAAATTTCTTCTGGTTTTTAGTAGGATGAAGCATGTATTCATCATATCTATCAGACTTTCTGGGTCTGATAACCTTTGTGAGATTGGAGCTTTGCTGTCCGACTACTTTGGTCTTGACTATGACATAATTCTTATATTTTATTGGAAAACCTCATAATTAAAACAAATTTTATTGTAAATGTTAGCTTGCCAGTTTTCTTTATTGATTAGGTACTCTTTTTGTGGTATTTTATTGCAGTTGATTCTCTGGAAATCATACATCAAGGTTAAAATACACACCTATATATGTGTATATATAAATTTTTTTCAAGTTGGAATAGATTGTCTGCTTTTAATGAGTAAAATTTTCTCTATGCTTAATTTTTGCTTTGTTTCTGGAAGTAATTCGAGGCATGCATCTGCTTGAGAAGAGAGGAAGGCTTTTAAAGAGGAGTCATTACATTTAGAATATATAAGAACCCGTATTTGAAAATATTTTCATATAGTTTGTACACTGATCATGAGCATCACACAGTACTGTCATGAGGAGGATGAAATACATGTGCTTTAGTTTTGGAGTTGTCAGCTGCTAGGATCTACAGCTGGTATGACCTGGGCTGTAATTTCCTATAATACAACTTTATTTTGCTCAGTTGTTTTGTCAGACAGTAGATGGTATGAACCAGGAAAGAGGTTTATTGGTTTGAACAGAGCTGGAGTGTGGGAAATCAGAATGAATTTCTACTGTCCTGAATTATACCTGATTGTGCTGAGATCTCTGGAGATTAGCCATATTAACTTACGCTTTTATTGTTCAAACTTGCAGAACTTTTTGCCCTCAACAATTCCTGGTTCAGTTTCCTGTCTTTCCTCACAAAAGGGAATAGTTTCTGTGTTCATAGCGTAGTCTACACTGTTGTGAAAAATTGCTTCATATTTTTAATACTACATGTACAGCCTATGTCCATGAGAACTGGAGACTAGCATATGATAGCTCTTAAAAACTCCAACATATTGACCATCAAAAAGACCCTCTGCCAATTGAGTTGCTAAAATTAATAGCAGTCTGGGCGAATTGTGCATCTCTGGGATTGCTGTCTTGTCTGTTTTCTACAGTAATGTTGTCATTCTCATTTTCTTTGAAGCTTCCTTAACCATCCCCCTCTCACAAATAGTTCCATATGGAGTCTGAAACACTGGCAGAAGTGCCCAGAGGCAAGTCGATAAGCAGCTCAGCTGCACAGCTACTGATCGAGCAGACTTGATGCTGCATCCTTATGCTTTCATTTTCTCTGCACCACAAACCAGCACCCAGGTAATAGCAGAGTTCTAGAAGTGGAGGGACCAGAAATAAAAGTAAATGTAACAGACCTATATGATAGGTCTGTTACATTTGAAATTTCATCTTGCTCCTGAAGAAAAGTGAAATAGGTAAAGGAAAAAAAGCAAAACAAAACTTTGCTGGTATCTGCTTATCCTGTGTCTTGTATAGTTTCCCTCTCAACAGAGTTTTTCTAATGTTTTGCTTTGAAAGCCTGTTAATCTCTAGAAACATACTTCACCACTGTAGTTAATACATAAATGTCTTCAACTTGCATGAAAGTTTTCCTCAACTTATATCTGAGCCTCTGTGCCTTTTTTCCTCTTCTTTTTGTGAGATGAGTCTGTCTATCTGAATATACAGACATTTTGTAAATGTTTTTCCTCACTAAATATCAGCATACTTGGAAGTCTTTTAGCACAGATAGGCTCATTAAGGCATAGGATCAGAATATGAAAGTACTATGCAGTGGGAATAGAAGTTATTCCTCTGTTTGTTTAGGCATTCTTTCTCACTGAACAGATTTTAGGTAAGGAGTTTATTTTCAAAAGAAGGCTTTGTGTGCCTGTTCCTTTTTGACTTTATAACACTCTCCACCTCCCAAAAATAAAACTTTTGAATTAATATCTAGTCTGGAAGACTGGGTGACTTTGTGTGCTCTAATGGTACAAGAATGAAGAGCTAGTGTTCTGGAGTGTAGGAATTCTTTTCATCTTGGTTTCCTGGGGAAACAAGGGTATGATCGTATACAATGTGTATGCTGATTTCTCTTCTGATTTCTGCTACTGCCCAGTTTCAGCCAAACTGACGGAGAGGTGGAGATGTTGCAGATAGAAATTCTGTAAAATTAGGTAGCTCTGTAGAAGGTGAGCACCCCAGAACAGCATGGCTTTTTAAGGGAAATTATGCAGCTCAAGCTAACAGTAATAGAAAAACCCCTTGCAGTTACCCCTTATGAAGGATTCTGTTTTGGGAAAGGTTTTATTTGGAATTGGCACATCTTAGGCCAAAGAAATTCAGGTACAGCATGATGAAATGGTAAAGTGACAAATGAAATTCAGTGTACAAAGGAAGGAGTATATGCACACTTTAAAACTGCCTTCTCATATGCAGTGATGGCCTCTCAGCTAGCTGTAGTCACTTGGAAAAGAGTTCACAGAGCTGTAATAAATAGTTATGTGAAAATATAAATTCCATGCTTAGTTATGGTCAAAAAAAGTAATATAAAAATTTTTTAGAAAAGAGGTAGAGAACAAAATGGAAAATACTATGCAACTGCATAAATCTGTGGTATATCTGAATCCAGTCCATAGTTACAGTTCTCCCATGTTAAAAAGGATATAATAGAACAAGACTGATCAAAAGTTTCACAACGAGTGATTAAATAGCCTAACACTTTTAATCTTGAAAATGAATGATTGGGGATAAGACGAGGAGCAAGCATATAATACAGAACTATAAAATAAAACGCTCGTGAAGAAAGTGAATGGATATGACTGTACATTGTTTGGTACAATTTCATTTTGATGTTTCCTAGGACTTGTATTGTTGGGAATCTAAAAAAATAAAAACAGAGATGATCTTTTCCCAGAGCTAGTAGGTAGTCTGTGGGACTCACTGCTTCAGCATTTTGTGTGAGTGAAGGGTTTTTATTAGCATAAAGGGTGAATGAATAAATCCAGAGAAGGAAAATCTGTCAGAGATGAATGCAAAGATATACCCTCTGTCTTAGAAGTTCCTGAGCTGCAGACTTCTGGAAGCTGGAGAGTGCTTTGGGGAAGTGGTGGCTTATGCTTCCTGTGTTTGTGTGTGTGAGTTCCTAAGGTACCTTCTGTGGACCATTGTCAGAGGCAGAATACAGGTCAGACCTGGTGCGGTCGCAGTGATGCAACTCGACACCCAGGTTTGCAAGAGGCCTTGGTATTATAATGCTTTGTGGAATAACCTTGTCAGATCATCAGTGTTCTTTTTAAATGCATCTCAACTTCACTGGCTGCCAGATGCTTCAGTGAGAGAATATTGACCGTGATACATAGTTTCCTCCTTTGTATGAATGGATAATTCACTTTCCTGAAGCCCCACAAGATACTCACGCAAATAGTGGTCACGCAGTATTCTCGATTTTTTTATTAATTAAAGTTTTAGATAATCACAACCTCTTGTCTTCTCAGCCCGTGTGGACAATTAAAAGCTAAAAGTAATGTAAATTCAATTTAAAAAATGTGGACAGAAAACTTGCAGTTGGCAATGTTTGTTCCCACAGTCAGAATACCTGGACAAGCTATTGTGGTTTTTCTAGTGCACGTCCCATGTGCCTCAGCCCTGACCTGAAGAAAAGTTCAGACTCTGGGTCAAACAGAGCTGAAGACACATGCATAAATCAATGACTTGTTTTAGTGCCACGTTAAAACAACATGAGTGGCTGGCTTTTCTGACCCCTCCTCCCTTTCATTTAATGTGCTGCTTTGGCTCTTCTTTAAAGAGGGCTCTGTAGAGTAATTTCAACTCTTATCAGCTTGCTGACAGCTATATGAGCCTTTCTACTGGCTCCAGGCAATCACTGCCAGCGTGTGAAACATCCCATTCTTAGAATGAAACGGTTCTGGATAGAGTTAAAACAAATGGGTGGTGGACTTTTCCAGTGGGTGGTGCAGCTCACATAAGAGATGGGATTTAGTTCTTGTTAGCCAATTAAACAGAACTTAATTTCAGTATCTGGACACTGGAAGCTCTTTGAGCATAGTTAGATTTTTACAAGTCCTTTTAATGAGAATATTCAACTTCCAGCTGCAGTTCTTTCCCTGACAAGGGACAGCTTCTGTCTTGGGGTTCTTTAGACTCATCATTATCAAATTTAAACGAACTTTCATCTGTCTGCCATTTGTAGCGTTTTAAGGAGTGCGATTGGAGAGGCTAACCCTGCTTTAATCCTCCCAGAGTGCTTCAGTGGAGCTCTGGGTCCCCCATAAATGTCAGGCCTGGACAACTTGCCATCTTATCAGATGCAGTGAAGTTAGTTCCAGCCCTCTCACCCCTCCCCCAGAGGAAAGATTTGTTGCTGCAAACAGCAAAGGAAGGAGAAAACTTTTTCCTGGCTTACTGCCAGGATCACCAGGGGAGTTGTAGAATCCTTGGCATTTATATATGAGACTTTCATTGCTCCCCGCTCCTCTCCTTCGTTTGTTGTGGAGAGTATCCTTATCCTAGATCTTTTTTCCTGTTGTCTGTCCTGCTCTGTTGCTTTCCAGAATGAAGAAAACTGTTTTCATGCTTGTTGTATTACACAGTGGTCTTTGTGGCATCTCTGAGAGAGAGCTTAGAAATTTGAGAGCAATCAGCACCTCAGTGAATATTTTTCATAGGATGCAGTTGTGCTGCCTTTGTATCTGGGTTTGCAGCCTCTGAACAACAAAAGGTTAAACTTCAAGTGTAAGAGGGAAATTATGCTATTTTAAGAGTAGTATTTTTTTGTTTTTAAGATTAGATTTTTAAGAGTCTCTATGTTGTTGCATAGTGGATTTTTTGTACTTGCCATTTGCAGATTGCTATACACGACTTGGATAGACTACAGATAAACCCAGATGAACCAAAAATATTCTGTCATGCACACGAAGCAGTTAGTTGCAGATAAATGGATGATTAAGCATCTCTCCTGGTGTTCCACTCATTCTTTGTTACTCTGTGCTGTCCCACTTCTGCTGCTTAGTCTGAACCACATCACATTTCTTTATCAAATTCACTTGCTCCACTTAGCCCTTCATTATCAAGAGTGTTACAACTTTAACATTTACCTCTCTAGTATAAATGTACTGCATTGCTGTAGTAATTTGCATGTGAGTGTATTAAATAGTAATAGTAAATACACCTTGGTCTTGTATCCATTTCACTGATGAGTGGATAGAGGCAAAAATAACTTGTACAAGGTCAAATCATAATATTAGTAATGGAATTTAGAAGTCCTGGATCCTGTTTTAATGACTTAATTTAATGTGTCTTACAACACAGTCCTTGCCTGTAAATTTTGCAGATATATCTGATATATCTAACAGTTTCTTAGATGCCTGTATGTAGGAAAATTATATATCTTTGTTACAAATGGAAAAGTGGGCTGTGCCAGGAATATACTTTAATGCCCTTTGGCTTGCAAATGGTGTAACTTGTATCTGGGGCTTGGCACCTTCCTTTCCCCTCTGCTCCTCTCTTTTTTTTTTTTTTTTTTTCATTAGCTGACAACTTTGAATGCTCTTTAGAAATGAAAGTGACACCTGGCATTAGTTGTCTTTGAATATATATTCTATCCTGGTGGCTTAAATCTGTACAGTTGCTCTGTAGATGAGGATTGCAGAGGGTGTGCATATTCCAGCATACTAATAGTGGAGTAGGGCATCATGGATAGAAGTTGTTAGATTACAGTTAAGCTTAAGAAATAGTTTCTTGCAACCAGACTCAGCTGGTAATGGAATTCTGGTCCCTGGGGGTCCACAGAATACTTCACCTTGGTGTCCGCCCCCCGCAGCACAGTCTTACCATAAAATGCTTCCCAACACTACTAAACAAAAGCAAAAAATATCGATTTTCCAGTGCCTGTTGAGGCATTGGGTAAAACTTTCCTCAGTCTGGTGATTAGGTTAAGCCTGAGCATAAAGGCAACACCCATTAACCAACTGTCTGAAATGCATCAGTAAGATAGCAGCACCAAGCCCAGGCTCTGTGCTCTTCCTCTCACTGCTTGTTTTGATTCTGATCTGTTGCTATCTGTTTAGTGGCCAGTGCTTCAGGGAGTCTCCTGAGACATGAGTTCCGTCTGTTGCAGAGGCCATGTTATATATGTATCGAGGGGAGAGGGAGAAACTGCCTCTTCCTCATGTTTTCAATTGTTCAGGTGAAGCAAAAGATTAATACAGAATAAATATGCAGATGCTGGTCAGTGGTGTACTTTCCATCATTTTTGGGGTAGCAAGGACTTCTGTAATAAGCTTTAGCGTTTATCGTTGAGATTACTTCTTTTTTACAAAATTTGGCTTTAAGCAGTAAAGAATATTCCTCTTTAGCATCCTATTTCAGATGTTTGCCAAGAAAAAATAAATAACACTTGTTGATGTCTACCAGCTACTTTGTCCATGTAGTTCTGTGCTGTTTCATTGCAGTGTGACCACCACATAGTATTATTACAACCAGCAATTCTTAATCACCTTATCTATTTCATCAGACAGCCATATAACCATGCACAATTTGAGTCATGAAGGATGAGGTATTTTTACATAGCTTGAGCTAAGATCAGCTATTTTCAAGGTGTGGAGGAAAAAAGCAGCACCATGTCCTAAACTGAATTTTTCCCATAGATATGGAAAAAGACCCATGACTGCCAGTCCTTCAGCTTTTGTCCTTATAGAAGTCAGTAAGATATATCTGTAGTCAAGCAATGCTGACAGCAATGTCTGCGGTTAAAGTTGTCCAAGGTTGAGAGCTGTGTGTATGGGGGTATGAGTATGTGTATGTTTATGCTTATATAAAATAGAACTATATAGCTTACAGGAAACTGAGTAAAACATGTCTTCATCAAAAGGGCAAGTTCTTCCTGGTATAGAGCTTAAGCTCTGAAGTTGAGGTATGTGCTGATTTTTGACTGCTATAATATGGTGGTAACCCTACCTAGATTTTTTTTCTTGCTTCAAAAAGCTGTCCTTTCATGTGTGTGATTGGCACTGGGCTTGCTTTGTGTTTAGCTTCTCTAATCAAGGGAATTTAAGCTTTTATTCTCCCAGCATTAGTACAGCAGTCATGGGAAATCTCAAACAAGACAGATCTTGTTGCAGCAGTTGACACAAATAAAAGCAGTTGTGCTTTTATTTATTTATTTTTGATGCTAGATGCTGATTAAAAGTTTCCAAGCATCCTTTAGCCATGTTATAAAGCCAACCAGCAGAGAGCAGGGCAGCTGCTGAGGAGGGGAGATGCTGGTGGACATAGGACAAGATCACAGTGGGAAGCATCAGTGTGTGTAACTCAGAAAGCTGGGAAAGGTGTAAACAGATCCCCAATTTATCTGTAGAATGGGCTCTCCAAACACTGTTTTATTGGCCAGTGGCTCCTGCTTTACTAACCTCTAACCTCTGCAATACTCAGAGGTGCTGCCCACCAGCCAGCCTTGTCTTTGAACCCCCCTTGGCTCCTGCCACCTCAAAGGCTTGCAGACAGATTCCAGTGTTTTGCTTGGGACCTCAACTCTCAGCAGGATTCCTGCAGCAGGGAAAACTGATCTACCCTGAGAACATAGACATATTTGAAGGCAATACCCCTGGGACTAGAAACCTATCGCTTTCAGTTTCAGGAGCTGTCCATCATTTGTCAAGAAATGTGGCTAAAACGTCCCCCCACGCCCCAACTTGTGGTCATACAGTAGTTGAATGTTCCCTGCAATTACATACACATATTTGTTTTCTATTACTTTATGGACTGCTGTTGAATCAATGGTAGCGTAAATCTGACTCAGTGTAGGTCTGGTTTCATGTGGTTAACAGGACGTGTGCAAAGGACAAACTTATCAAAAAAAGGATGATACAGATCCAAGTAATTTTGACAACTACTCCGGGTAGATGTGCCTGCCCCTTCACAGCAACAGCCTGGTGAAACTGGAGTAATTAGGGAGCCCTACAAACTCCTGGAAACTGGAGGGAGAGAGAGAGGGGGCTTTTTTTTGTGTCTTTACATCATTATCAATGATGATTATGTAGATATGACTATCTGGAAGCCAGAGTAGGATCTACATTACTCTCTTACAGCTGTGTTATTTCTGTGGTGTCAACGCATATCATTTGCCTGTAAAATCGGAAGACAGAACTGAAAGCTCTTTGGGAGCAAAGGGAATTCAATAAATGGCAGCCATTTTTACATTACATATTTTTAAAGTTCTAAGTCCTTTATGAAACTTTTCTTTTTTTTTCTCGTCCTCCTTTCTTTGCTGGCTCTGTCTCTGTGCTTTGCAACAGTATTCCCAGCCACAGCTGAGAACGCGGTGGTTCCTTGTTGCTTGTAGTACCGATACTTATTCGTTGGCTGCATAACTGAAATATATTTTGGCAGTGGATTTGTAGGGTGCCAGGGCAGTAAGTCAGGTTTCCTGGCTGGTGTGATGTTGCCTTCTGCAACAGAGTTGTGAAGCTGACATACTCATTAATCAAAGAAGCAAGTTTAAGGTGCAGAAATATATGGAGGGAGGGGAGAATACCAGTCCTAAGTGGTGGTTTTATCTATTCAAGTCTTGTGTTCTTGTTATTTTTAAAACTGAGTAACTATCATTAGGATGGGAAATAGCAGAAATCTGTATTTTAGGGGTCAAGATAGTGCAGGATTTCAAAACCATATAAAATGTTACCATTTTATGGGAGAGGATGAGAACTATTCTGTTAAAAATAGCTTCTTGTATGTCATATATTTGAGCCAGATCTTAAGCAGAACAAGGCTCTTCTTCCTTACAGAAGATGAAAACCTTAAAAAAAACCCAACAAACCCCAACAAGCAAAACCAAAAAAACATCCCAAACTCTCTCCCCAAATTATCTGGAACTATGGAAGCAAGACTCTAAATGTTAAATTAACAGATATGTTTCAAAGAACCATTCTCATATATGCATAATATGTGGTGTTATACGTATGGATTACTACAATTGATGTAAGTGATTCTTTTCAAAGCACCAAAGAGGAGAATCTGAGGGAGACTGCAGTGTAAAAATCTTAATTTCTGAGCTTGCACTAACATTTTCCTTTACCCTTAGCTCTTATGAGTCAGCATTTGTCAAGTAGTTTACAGCAATAAAACTGAGAGCCAGTAGAACTGAGTTACTCCCAAGTGGCTGGTATCTGAAGAGTAAGACTAGCATTTTGAACTCTGACCTCTGTCCCCTTATGAATCAGCAGCTTCAAAAAGAAAAAAAAAGAAATTTGGGTGGCGGAAATAATTTAGTTTTCATTCTCTGTTGTATCTGAAGTAGGCAAATGTGGTTGTTTCATGGCTGAAATTACTACAGTGGAGAATATTGAGCCAGGTGATTAAATCCACCTAGTGCTTTATTTTTGGAGAGAGATATCCAGAGATATTTTTGGAGACTGAATTACAATAAAAACCAGCACCACAAAATGTCTATCTAGAATCTCTTTCTTATTAGGACTGTAATGATAGAAATTGTTTTGCTTGCTCATCCTGCAGAATTATCTTGTAATTAAGGAATATTCCTCGATAGGCCACTCATAAGTTGTATAAGTTAAATAGATGAATATTTTCATCTTTACTTGGAATAATGCATAGCTCAGCAACAAGAGTTGAAAGATGGAATGAAAATTCAGAAACAATATTAAACGCATGTTGTGTGTTCCATTAGAAGCAAACCTTAGTTAAACTGGAAACAACTGTATGTGTCCTGCATTGTTCTACTGCTCATTTCTCTTTTTTCCTTCTGGAGAAATTTCTGGTTTGAGCTTTGGGAAAACTCGATGTTGAATTATGAATTAGTCTTTATCTGAAGTGATCAGACATGCCTAAAAGTGCAATTCCTTGCTACCCCCATTTTTTAGCCTTAAAAGTGGCATGCTGATGTTATGAGCACTCTTTACACAATGCCTAAACTACTGCTTTTCTTAGATAGGTCCTTGTTGACAAATAGACACGACAACCTTAGGTCAAATTTGAAGGGTGCTTTAATCTGATCTTCTATAAAACATGAAAATAATTCAGAAAACGTTTCAGTTTTGGGCAAGTGACATGATTTTACCAGTATTGCATTGATTTAATTGATTAAAATTCCTTATGTAGTAGTCTGTGTGTGGGGACAAGAATCTAATTTTTATGTTCTGATTGTGATTTCTAAAGAGGTTATGTACCATTTTGAGTAATTGTACTGGCACCCCAAATGTGAGCCAAGTTTTCAGAGCATGGCTCTTACATTTTTACATAGTCTGAAACACATGAATTATTTTTGAAAAATGTATCCTACATTCTGGTTTGTTCTCATTTCAAATCTTCATGCCTCTCCAGGAAAATGAGAGGGCCCTCAGATCATTTTTGAGGATAGGGCTTTAAGGGAAAGAAGGATCATGGCCTACAGCTGGTCGCTTATTCTGTCTTCTCATGCTCCGTTAGTAAGAGGAGAACAGATTGTTCAGGAGGTATTTTAAAGTACCAGAGCTCTAAATTTCCCTCTGAATGATGCTATTTTTTTTTCCCCCACTGATTACAGAGAGAAGATAGAGCCAGCCAGCATTAGGCATGCAGAACTTAATTGTGTGACATTGCTAAGGGTCCTAAACCAAATAAGCACTTTTTTAAATTCAGATTTTCATAATTTTCTAGAAACAACAAATTACTGTCTAATTCTTAATAGTATAAAGTCTTCTGAGGTTTTCTCATAAGCCTGCGTAAAGAAACAAAGATAGCAGTGGTTTTACAGCTGTAGGAACAGTAAGATGGTCCAGAAAGAGGGGGCAGGTTACAATTCATAGGCAGAAAAATGTGGGAATTTGGGGTTATAGAGCTCAGCCTGAACCCAAAATTTGTCTTGGAAGACTTTTTATAAAATGCTTGTTCCTCTAAAAGACGAACTTAAGTTCTCCTTTCAGTCCCATTTTACCTTGAGGGGGATGGGTAGTAGGGGGCTTGAGTGCTCAAGCTTGCTATCTGTTTATTATATATCATCAGCTATCCTAATATGCATCTTTAGTATGGGGCAAATATATAATAGTTCAGCTTATCTTGAACTTCAATAACCTATCTAATCCTACTTCACAATGGAAGGAGGTTAAGGGGGGGTTGCCTGTGACCAATTATAGTAGCTTGCTTGATGGGCAATAACTTGTTAGGTCTCAGTAACTTAAAAAACATTTGATTATATTACGGTATCACATCTAACTTAAGAGCCTGAAGGTCTTAATGGATGAAATTCCATGCCCAGAGCCGTTAGATACACAGCAGAGCTGTAGGTATTTCTTGTAATATCTTTTATATCTCTGCTGAAGGTACACATTTTAGCAAAGGGTTGCCACAGCCAGTTACTTCAGTAGCATGGTTAGCTAAATATTAGTTTTATTAGTTTAAGGTTTCTTTTTACAAATAATAAGAGAGGATCAAGTTAAACTTTTTCTGTTCTTCTGTCCACCCCAAAATTTGAAAGGTCTGGAATGGTTAAGTCTCACAACATCTCTGTAAGGTGAATATTACACATACTGCTGAGAGGCTGAAGCAGAAGCAAGAAATCAAATGAATGTCAAGCATTTATCTGTAAGTAAGTAACAGAACCAGGATTAAAAGTAAGATCACAAAGTTTCCAGGCCAGTGCTGCTGCAGCAGCTAGACCACGCTGTTTTCTCCCGCCAGACTTCCTTAACATAGCTGGTCAGGGAGTAAAAATCAGGAACACCAAGAGCCATCGAGAAGGGAAAGCATTTAAGTAGAGTCACCCCAGCCAGTGTGAAAATGGTTATATTTCAAGGCCTCATAAACCTTTTCAAGGCATTTTGGAAACACTGAACTCCTGCAGTGGGGCATAATCGTACAGCATCATGGCGCCTGACCTAAAAGTTGAGAGAAGTGGTGGTTTATGGGCAGTTAACTTTTACTACTCTCTTGCAAATCTTGTTTTTTCCCCTTTTGCTAACTTTACCAACTCCCACCAAATCGTGGGCTGTGAAAAGGCAGGAGGCTAGAAAGTCCCTTTCATGGACTGTTTTCCCCTTGATCTAAATGTTGCAGAAAGTATTCTTTTCCTTGCCGCATGCCCAGTGTTTTTCTTTGCACAAACTAATCAAAAGATTTACATGGATCTGTCTTGCACTCTACACCAGAGCACCATTAGTGGCATTAACACTAGAACTTATAAACATTATATGAATGGACTTTGTAACCTGATGCTATGCTGGCTTGTAAAGAGCTTATAAAGAGATGCTAGGCCCCCAAGTGTGTTTATTTCTAAGGAAAATAACACCTTACCTAAATAAATGTTACTTTCTGTGAGTAGGTTACCATATTGCTGTATGCTGCTGCCTGTCGCCTCCTATGAAAATAACTGCAAATGGTTGTGTTGCAAGCTCTTGCGTGTACCAGTATGTGCTGAGTATTGTCAGTTTAATTTCTTTGTAGTCCACCTGAAAAAATCCTGGAACTAAAAACAAGTGGAATTGAACTTTTGGGTTGGATGCTTGCTTACTTGGCTGAAGGAATGCAAAATCTCCCATACCGTCTACAGTTTTGAGGAAGAAAACTACACAAAGTTTCTAAACTTTTTCTTCTGCCTTACAGATGTTGCTAGTGTTCCTCAAAGTGTGCATATGTATTTGTAGAGATAAATCAATACCCCTACATTATATTAAGCAATTTTAGCCTTTACAGAAAGTGGTGGGTTTTCATGGTCAATCTAATGAGGATGCAGCAGTTGAAACTGGGGTGTGGAGGAAGGAAGAGAAACAAGTTAGAGCTACCTGTTGGCATAGCAGTGTTTGTGACCTTGGTCTACAGAGCTCACTTCTTGGAGAGAGGGGAAGAGTTTGATCTCAGATTCCTTCAGTCTTTGGCTTTCATGCTGAGGCTGTCTTGGCTTTATAAAATTTTTTGTAGAAGTTGAATTCAGGCAAATTAATTTAATGGGGAATCTATTGCATTATAAGAGATTCCAGTCACTACCATCCCATTGGGTAACCCAATAATGTAATGTATTTCTCATTTTCAGTCAAGTTGTTCTGTATGCTACATTTGACTCTTCCACACGATGGTAAAACTGTTCTAGAAACTGTTACAGAAAGTAATGTTTTTCTGTCTTTAATCTTGGATCTCTCCTAGATTTGATATTTATCTAGAAGTTTAGAAGGGGAAGAAAAGCTGTGTTTCTTAAATACCTGTTTGCAGTTCCTGGTAAGCCATACACCCAGAACAAGATTCCATAGGTTAACATATGTTCATCTGTGTCATTTTGGCAGTTGTACAAAGTACATGTTTGATCTCTATTTACAATTTAGGTTGCCAGTGACCTAAGCAATATTTAGGTGTATACAAAGTTAGCATTCTTTACAGGTCCATGGTCCACATAGTGTGTTTCCTTAGAAAATTCTGAAATCTCATCAAGCAGACTACTAGAGTACTAGAAGTTAATTTCAGTTCAAGTTGAAAGGAATGGTAGTTTGACGATATCGTAGTTGTAGCCTGTGTATAATCAATGCTACGTGGAAGACAAGATCTGTAATTATGGATCATTTATTTCAAGATGCTGAAAGGCTTTCAGGTAGCTCTAATTAGTATGTTACAATTGCAATACCTTACAAACATTACTTGGTGTATTAAAGCTACTCTTGAATATATAACCATTAGTCTTCTGAATTCATAGATAAGCAAAAGAGAAATGGACAGCTCAGAAAACCTACATCAGAATACTAAGAAAGTTGGCATAGGAGTCAGGAACAGATCTCTCCCTCTCTCTTTTTTTCCATGCCGCCCCCCCTGTCCCCCTGCCCCTTGTTGTTGTTGTTTCTCTCTCCTGTATCCCAAACGTGTTCATGGAATTTTCATCCCTTCTAGGTATTTGTTACATTCCAACATAAGCTTTTCAACCACACCAAATAGAGCAGAAATACATTTCAAAAGGCATCGAATACATCTTCCCAATAGAAAACTTTCCCAAAATATTTAGTAACTTGGCATGCTGAGCAGGAGACACTAGCAAGCCATGTTAATCAGTTCTGCTTTATAAAAGCAAACAAGGTGGGGAGGAAGTAATGAGACCCTGAAACATCTGTTTGGAGACTTTGAATCCCCTTAGAAGGTTTTGAGTTCTGCCTTAAAGAAAAACAACTCCAAAAAATTACAACCAACTGTGGGAACATTTTCTAGCTCTTTACAAAAAATTAATTACATAAATGTTAGTCTATAAAAAGTAAATTCCCTTTGCCGCCTTCTCCAGTTTTGCTTCTGGTACAAAGGTGTAATCTTGCCTGATACTGCAAACATTATTTCAGCAAAGAGAAGCTAGATCAGATCCATCCTAGTTTTGACAAAGGAGGAGAAACAGCTTTGATTGTAACAAAGCTAGATAATCATAGATATTACAGTATTAATAAACAATCTTAGAGTCAGAACAGTATAGGAATGCTGTCACTTAATAAAAATGACAGAGTCCTGTGTGTATTTCACACAATTAATAGCTATTTAATTGCTTTATAAAGTTATATTTTAAAAGGCTACATAGAATAATTTATCCTTCCTACTTAGTACTGCTTATAGCAATGATTCTAAACTGTTACCTAATGTGAAAATGAAATGTGAAAGCTGTGTTCTTACTCTTGTTTATTTAAGATACTTTAATAGAGAGGTTCACTGTTCTAGTCAATTTTAATTCTTAATCTTCTGGTTTTCTTTTTAAATCAATTGCTGCTGACTTCTGGATAATACATTTTTTGTAAGAAATGGA